ACCAATATTAATCTACAGATGAGTGAATAAATTAAATGCAGTGTATCTATGCAAGTGACTACTATTTAGCAATGAAATAAATTTATTTATTTGTAAAAGTAGTTGCTACTATAAAACAGGGAACAAGGTGAGCCCCTCCTGCTTGATCTTTTTATTTTTTCAAGACAGAGTTTTACTGTATAGCTCCAGCTGTCCTGGAATTCACTCTGTAGGTCAGGCTGGCCTTGAACCCAGAGATCTGCCTGCCTCTGCCTCCTGCATGCTAGGATAAAGGCATGCACCATCACCCCTGGGTGGCTGATCTTTTAGAACTGTATAAATGTGTCACTTTGATTTTAACAAAGCCCAAATCATTCTCATTGCAATCAGGATTGAACAGTGTCTATGATATTTAATTCAATTACTTATTTTAGTCACAAAGACAAGCATGAGCAGATAGAGAAACAAACAACTGATTCTTGGCAATATCCACAAAGATTATAAGGGCTCATGAAATTGAGACTGCACAGCAGTGTGCATATACCATGAGTACTTGGTTGGCCAGGCTAGCAGAAGGAATTCGGAGTACTGGTCAACCTGTTAAGCTATTTAAACTGGGGTTAGTTAAAGTCCTTCTCCTGTAACAAAGACAGGTGATAAAGGAGGATGAGATAAAGCAGACTTTCTCCATCTGCTTTCATCACCTGTCCTGTGCCAGACTTAGATAAGAACAACCCCATTGAGCAGAGCTCAAGGCTACCCTTCCCAGAATCTCTCAGCTCTCCTAGAACTACCAGCCCCTTGAGGGGGATGTACAAGTGAAGATGAAGTAGGGCAGCCTGTCTTATATATCCGTTGGCATAATTCACAACATAAGCTGGAAAAGTGGCCTCTTACATCATGACGATCTGATCTGACTTCTGTAACTAGACTCACTGCATTATTGTGGCTTTCTCTCTTTTATTTTAGGTGACTACGAGGTACTGTACATATGTGTGCAGCAAGAGAAAATGCACAGGCAGGAGTTCAAAGAGGACCTGAGACCCAGGCTCCAGTGTCAGTGTTGTGTGCTTGCAGTAAATCAATCATAGCCTCACTGCCTTGCCTGCCAATGAGGCCTCAATGTCCTAAGTATTCTCTATTGTTCATGATTAGGAGATGCAGCCACTCTTTCAACAAATGCTGATCCCTCCCCTGTGCTATTTTGAGCAGTGATCTGCAGATACAGTGCCCAGTCAGGGAAATCTGCTTCCTGCTCTTTTACTTGGGATCAATTCTTGAGCTCCCAGGAAGATATGATCCACCACTATACCAAATTCCTGAAATTCATCATTTGCTGAGTCCCCTGGTCCGGGCCAGCACTTCCTGAATACAAAATTGTCAAATTTTCTTCATGGCTGAAACTAGAAAGCCAAACAATTGTCTTTTAACATGGATAGAACCATTAAATGATTTCACCTTTTGCTATGAGAATGCCTCTTGACCATTGTGTAGCCATTTCACCTGGGCATTAGCTCAGTGTTTGTGTGTGTCTCCTCCCACCCACCACCCCTCAATTTTTGCTGAGATTCTGACCTCCAAGGTGAGAAGGGAGGGAGCACTTTGAGGGAGGTGATTAGATATCACACACAGGTAGAGCCCTCATGAATGGTATTAATTCCTTATAAAAATTAGTCCAGGGCTGGAGAGATGGCTCAGAGGTTAAGAGCACTGACTACTCTTCCAAAGGACCAGAGTTCAATTCCCAGCACCCACATGGTGGCTCACAACCATCTGTAATGAGATCTGGCGCCCTCTTCTGTATACATAATAAATAAATGAATCTTTTAAAAAAAAATTAGTCCAAACTAAGTTCAAGGAACTTCATTTGTCCTTTCTACCATGTGTGGACCTCACAAGAAAGTATCACCTAGAACAGAAATTGGGCCCTCCCCACAATCTAAATCTGCTGGCAACTTGATCTTAGACTTCCAGCCTCTAGAACTATGGGAAACAAATGTCTACTGCTTAAAAATCAGTCAGAGATACTCTGCTCTGCTGACTAAAATACCACTACATATACAGTACATATATAGTCAGCCACCAGGGGCAATCTGGATTTTCTGAGAGACTATACAATCAACTCAAAAGAAGAATTCAGCCTCCTTTAAAAAAATAAGGTTTTCCTTTTTAAGTGTGTGTGTGTGTGTGTGTGTGTGTGTGTGTGTGTGTGTGTGT